AGTGGGAGCGTGGGGACGGGTAGTTCGAGGGAAATTTCGCCGTACTAAAGTTGCGGTTAAAGAAATTCACCAGGTACTTCTGAGTGACGAGAACAGTTATATTAGAGAGTCTTTTTAAGGTAGAAGTTGGAATCGCTTCAAGATGTCGCCACCCCTGTTTACTTCAGTTTATTGGAGCATCAATTGATGCAGAGGGTCTTCTATTAATCACAGAGCTTATGGACCGTAGTCTACGATCGCTTTACGAAGAGCAGCCACTTCTCAAGAGAGAAGTCTGCATTATTTCGGTAGATGTTGTACAAGCTCTTAACTACCTACACAAGAGTTTGCCCCATCCCATTATTCACCGCGACATCAGCAGTGCGAATGTGCTGTTGTGGCGACAAAATGACCAATGGAGAGCCAAGGTATCAGATTATGGGAATGCTAACTATGTTCGTCAGAGTCGAAAAGACGGTCCTGGATCTGCGGTTTACAGCGCACCGGAGGCCACGGATGATTCAACTAAACAAAATATTAGCTGTAAGGTTAGCTGAATTCAACGAGTCTCATATAAACCATTATTATCCAACTATACTCCGTAGAGTACAAATAACGCTTAAGACGAGTGCAAATATCTCTCTCAAATCACCACTTGAAACAAATCAATAATAGTGCTAGCTATCGGCAACCTGCACCTCATTCAGGGGTTTCTTTTTGATCGTGTGAGTTTCTGTTCTTTGTTGCGTTTAATAATCAGATAGGCAATATTTGCGTATTAAGCGTCCTAAATGTGTTTCTCAGATTTCTCATCGGGTGACCCAAAACGATTAGTCACGAGCAAAACTAAGCCTCGAAAGATTATGTCAGCCGGAGTTGTGTAAAATTATAGCAGAATTCCATTCGTTTTGGAGGGCCTAGCTTTTACCACTAGTCTTCAAGACATTAGGAAAGGCTCTGCGATCTCTTGCCCTCTAGCATTGCTTGATTTTGAGCGTAGGGGCTCAACTGGAAGTTACTATGAAATTGTTTTAGTCTTGTACACGGGTGAGTAAGCAGTTTGTGTTTCGAAGTTTCGAAATTAACAATTTGAGCGCCTTTTCCGTCAAGGGTGAGAGTGGTTGAAGATGTTGTTTGGTTGGTTGGTTTTCAGCTTGACGTCTACAGTTTTGGTGTGCTCCTATGCGAAATCTGTATTAGCGAATTTCCTGATCCTGAAAGGCGGCAAGAGCAAGTGACCAAGGCTGTAAATAGCGAATTTCGAGATCTTTGTGAACTCCTAATACCGAAGTGTCTAATAGAAGAACCTGAGGACAGACCGGATATGGAAGAGATAATTGATGGACTGGAGGCATTCCAACGTAATCATAAATTACAATGACATTGACTTTCTTCAACGTTCATGGTATGCTACATGATTATTCACTGTGATTTTGTTTTTTAAACTCTATATTCTCTTTTGAAAGTCACTTGCATCGTGATTTATCATTTTTAATTATTATTTGTCATTTTTTAAATGGCAAATCGACCACACTTATCTCATCTTCTTTTAATCAGAATGATTTCAAATTGCCATGTTTTGTGCAGTCATAGATATTCCTGATCACAGAATTAGCTACCAAACTGTTTTGTCGTCTTCTGTACGTAAAAAAAATTATGCAAGTCGTTCCTTTAATAAAAAGAAAATTTTATTTAGTCGAAGATCCTTTTGGTAATTTACTAAAAGAAAATATTCTCCTTAGGTGCACCACATTATTTCTCGTAAGCTGATCGTGCTTGACTTGCCTCACCCTGTTCACTCCTTGGTATTTAATGCTGTGAGAACTTTAGAAAAACACTCAACTTCTGTTAATGTGTTAATCTTTGTTGTCTCTACCATTTGACTTGATATGTAATCAATAACTGAACAAACACAGGGCAAAATGGAACTATGAGGTAATTAAATTCATTTTACCTAGGAAAGACAGAAAAAATAACTCGAATTCCAATGAACGTTTTCTTCGTGAATAATATATTACTAGATACTTCTATGCAGACTACAATTCATGAATGAGCAGTTAATATGAGGCTGGCGCCGCGAAAAACATTTTATATGTAGCGGGCGTTCGTACACCTTCTGCAGCAGTGTTTTTATTTTGTTAACACAAACCGTCACTTATTTGAAGACAATTTCTTGTTACCAAAAATGGCGTGCTTTAGGTCTCTTTTCTGACCTAGCTTTCCACCCTTCCATTTTGGTCAAAGAAATGGATACATTGTGAATAGACATTCGATGTGTCTTGCCACCGAAAAACGTCAAAGACGATTCATAAACCA